CCAAGTGTTCCATGCCCTATTCAAACCGAGGAGGGACAGGGGAAGCTGGTAACTGCAGAATGTATGTTGGATTTTACATTGAGGTCACGTGGGGAGTAGAAAGCCAAGGGGAGAGATGATAGTCAAAGTCTAAAGGATGTACTTGTCTCTAGCAGAGCAAAGGAAACAGGTTCACATGGCTCTCCATCCTGCTGAGATCTTCAGTACAATAAAAAAGCAGACTTCTGCATTCAGAGATCAATCATAAGCACTTAGAGAGCAAAACCTAGACAAAGGCTGGTTGAGATTTAAGATGGTCTGCACTATTGACTTTTAACACAATTGTGAGCTAAAATTTCTATCAGAGTTCCTACTCTAACAGTATGTGCTCAGTCATCCTCCATGGCATGGGGTGGGCCTAGCTTTATATTTGATCTCTACACCTATCCACAAGAGTTTAGCACATTGCCAAGTACACAGGGTCCTTGAGCAAGACCAGGCGAATGACTGGGTCTGATGGCACAGGCTGTAATCCCAGCACTTGAGAGGCTGACACAAGAGGATCACCACAAACCCGAGGCCAGGCTGGGCTCCTTAGTGAATTCCAGGGCTACATAACAAGACCCTATTAAAAACTAAAAAGACAGTTGAATGAACAGTGGAGTGGTTGACCAGTTGTCAGAAGACTGACTCAGCGATAAGGTCAACACTTGACGATGTTGTTGATTGAGAGATTGGAGTGAGGCTCTTCCCTCCAGCATCTGCCCTCATCATTGACTGTGGACACAGCATCTCCTTCACTCCTTGCCTGACTTTCCTCTGAGAATATGCCCCTTCCCCATTCTCAGCTATGCTGATGACCCACTATAGACTATATTCCATCCCTACAGACACTTCATCCGGCCACTTTATAATAAAAATCATCAAACAAAAATCTGTGGCTTTAATATAATGGGGGCTTATTTCTTGTTCTAATGGGTAGACTTCTAGAATGAGCCTGGCCTTTGGTTTTTTTGGTTTTGTTTTGGTTTGGTTTGGTTTTGGGGTTTCGGGGGGGGGGGTTCGAGACAGGGTTTCTCTGTGTAGCTTTGGAGCCTGTCCTGGATCTCACTTTGTAGACCAGGCTGGCCTCGAACTCACAGAGATCCACCTGCCTCTGCCTCCCGAGTGCTGGGATTAAAGGCATGCACCACCGCTGCCCAGCTGGCCCTCGGTTATTTAGATACAAGACTCCCTTCTGTTTTACTGATCCACCAGTGTGACTGGCCTAGTTGGATATCTCTACTTCCCCCAGCTTTCTAATTTGTAACATAAAGATATAATAGTGTGTTCCCTGGGGGAACTTTAAGGGGATTAAATAATCCAACATAAAGGTCAGAACACATAACAAATATATGTAAACTTACTCACAATAACGCATCAACTAGCAGGACACTGGAGAGGACATGTAGAAAGGTGTCACCCTAGACTTGGTACTTGAGTGGGACAGAGGGTGGCAACAAAAGACACTAACTAGCTCAGGGAACAAGCTGTGTCCTGGGAACTGAAATGGAGCAGTACAATGGAGTGGCTTCCTGCCCACACCAGCTTCGATGTAAGGTTTTCTATGAAGGGGACAATGAAATGGAAACCGATGACAGAGAAGAGAGAGTCCATCAGTCACCAATCAGAGGCAAGAGGGAATATTTCAAGTAGAGGACACAGCTAAGGAAAATGCCGAAGACTGGTGGGACTGAACCAGAGTATTGAATACATAGGATGGGGGGGGGTTGTACAATAGAGTGAACTCCTGCTGCTTCAGGATGAGACCTGAGAGAAGACCAGGGATTGCTGAGGGAAGACTCGGGCTACAGCCAGCACTTCTCTCCAAACCACTGGAGAGTTTTCCCTTGGTTTACTTGTATCTGTAAAGATCTCTGAGTGAGTGCTGTTTGCAGAAGGATTGTGGAGAGTAGAGAGAGGATGTAGGATGCTATTACAATAACACAGGCAAGCAAACATGATGGTCTCATCCAATGAGAGATGGTGGAGACCGAAAGAAGTGATTGGATTTATGATAGGATTCTACCAGTTGATGGTAGACTCAGTAACAACTGCTTGTGTTTCTGATGAAAAAAAGAAGACAAATAAAAATGATTTGATTTGGGTATGGTGGTACATACCTGTAATCCCATCCCCAGGACCTGGATGCAAGAAAATGGGTGCAAGACCTTCCTGCGATGTGTGAGACTTTAACACAAACAAACACTGGAGCAACTGGGTGGTAAGCATTCACTATCCCTCTGTATTAAACCATCCCTGTCTGCCATGGGATGACATGTACACAGAAACGTGTTGTAGGAATGACCACATACCCACTGTCTGCTGATTGATTAAATGACTGAATGAACGGGAAGAGGAAAAATACAGAAAGGGACTTCGAGTGCGAGTGCTGGAGTTAAAAGAGACTGTCTCCTTCACAATTTTACCTGCAAGGCCAGTGACTGGCTTCCACAAAAAATAAAAGTCACACACACACACACACACACACACACACACACACACACCAAGATTTGCTAAGTGCAGAGATCTAAACTGACAGAGGAAAAGGAAAGGGCCTTGAGAGCAAGGATGCACGTGTTGGGTACATTCCTTGCTTAGGGAAGCTGACTCCTCAAAAACCCGGGATCCGATGAGTGTTCAGGAAATCCTCCAGCCATGTCAGCACCTAATAGCAACCTAAAACATTGATTTACTAGGGCAGAGCACCATGCTGAACCAGGGGAGCACCATGCTAAGGAACCAGGGGAGCACTGTGCTGAAGGAACAGGGGAGCACCATGCTGAGGAACCAGGGTAGCACCGTGCTGAGGGAACAGGTGAGCACCTTGCTAAGGAAACAGGTGAACACAGGGTCAGGCACAGGCAAGGACCTTTGTCCAAGGCTCCCTCATCCTCCTAAGCATCATAGGAGGCATCACCCACAGGCAGTGCCTTGGCCCCAGTGCACATTCTACCCAAGGCATGAGCATTGCAGCTGAAACTAGCAGACTATGGATGGAACCTTAGTATGAGATACCTCATAATATCAATTATCCTTTAAAAAAAAACAGTCCCCCAAGAAATAGCAACGAACTAAAAATTTGTCTCTCTGTGAAGATGTAAATTTTGGAATAGTTTCTAATAACATTTGGAGCTAAATGAGTCTATGTTCAAATGTTGGCTTTAGCTGACCTTTGACCTTAAAGAATAACTGTTTGATTTGGTTCAGCCCACCTCTGTAGGCTGGTGAAATACTGTGAGTAAAATCTCAGCATGGCAAATCCTTAGCTTCAGTACCTTCCCACTGCTTTGCCTGCCTTAAGGTGCTAGGAAACTTTTCCTTTGAAACTGTAATGTTGAGGGGTTGGATCAATCCCACATGACTTGAAGGGGGAACATCAGTAGAATAGCCAGGCAGGATGGCACACACCTGCAATCCAACCTACTCTGGAGGTGGAGGCAAGAAGATCAGGAATTCCTATGTAGCATGTTCATGTAGGGTTGAATTCATAGCTCTCTTCAGCTCCATGCAGGCCATAAGTCACATGATGAATGCACCTCTACAGACTATATCCTTTTACATTAAGCTTGAAGCCTCAGGTGATCCAATTTGCCCATCAGTTATGCTATACTGAAATGACAAAATCAGTAGACTGGCTAAGGGACGATCAGTATGGGTCAAGTCATCACTTTCAGTTCTGACATGCACTGACGAGAACCTTGGTCATAGTTGTTTTGAGGTAGGGTCTCACTGTATAGCCTTGGCTGGCCAGCAGCTCTCTGTGTAGACCAAGCTGGCCTGAGATAACAAGTGTGCCTCATATCCAGCATCAACCACAGATCCTCTGTGGCCATGCCCCAGTATAACAATGAAGAGACAGCAGCCAGTTTGGGTAAGCTTTTCAATAACTGGATTAGACAAACCACAGATCATTCTTAACTTAAACATCAGATACTAGAATAGTGGGCCGCCTGAACTGGAAGAGTACTGGCCAAAGCAAGACAATTGGGACATTCGTTACTATTGCAACCACACACCACCTTACTGACCTTGAATAAATCACTCCATTTCTTTAGACTTTAATTGTCATACCTATGAAAATTATACTCCCTGTCCATTCCGTTTTGCAAAATTGAATAATATTTAAGTGAGACGGTATATGCACAAGTGTACTGGAAGCTATAAAGAACAGATCAGTGTGATTTATCTAGTTCCATGTTCTCAGAAGCCAGCAGAGTGTGTGACATTCTATAAACGTTTGCTGATAAGTTTAAAAAGTCTACCTAATCAGAGTAAATGAAGATACTCAGGTCAGCACCTACATATATCAGCCAAATAAAATGTTATTTGGATTTTCACCTGAAAAAAAAATCTTTAAACAGAGATGATTTCAAAACAAGATGGAAATTATGTGCTATTCTCAGTTTAGCTGGACATGTTCTTTGATTTATAAAAACACAAGATATTCTCATCCAAAGCTGGGAAAGAGGTGGCAAGGAGAAAAAGAATGCAATATTAATCAGTAGAGAGATTTTTTTAAAAAAAAATTTAAGAGTTTCTTGTTAATAATTATATATTTGAAATATAAAAAACCATCCTTTTGTTTCAATGTTACAATCAGATTTGAAGGAGAAGAATATTTTATACTCTGCTACCGTGCCAAGAATTCTGCATAATGAGCAGACAAAAAGATCGCCCAGCTAATCCTAACACCAAGCTGTTGAACAACACTACATCCCACTGAAAAATCCTCCTCAGCTAGCAGTCATCAAGAGAGAGGGTACCCTTCTTCTGCAGGAGGGTCTCTTCAGTGCTGCCCGAAATCATGAGCTGGGATTCTGAGAACGGTGTGTGGATTCTGAGTATCCGATCCTGGCCAGAATCGACATTTTGTCAGGGACCACAGATGTTATAGAAGGGTCCCACTAGGGCAGGCAGCATGTCCAAATAATTCCTGATGTTTTCTCCTGAGGGAAGTTACCGTCTCCTGAGGGACTTACCGTTGTTAGCACTTCTGTGACAGTGGTCCTTTTCCAAGCGCTGGTTACTTCTGATGTTCTAGGTGCTGGGAGAGCTGTTGAAACCACATGGTGAAGTGACCTTTTCTATTTTCTTTCGTTGTGTGTGTGTGTGTGTGTGTGTGTGTGTGTGTATGTGTATGCACATGCACATTAACTGCTAGTGTGTTGAGTGTGTGTGTGCATGTCCTCCGGTGCCATCCTGGAGTTCACCCATTGGGCCAGGCTGGCTGGCCAGCCAGCCCTAGGAATCCACCAGTCTCTGCCTCCCCAACACGAGGGTAACAAGCACTCACCACTGCCCCCAGCTTTTGTTTTTATAGGCACTGGGCATGAAACTCAGGTCCTCATGCTTGCAAAGGAAGCATTTTAACAATGGAGCTAGCCCAGTTTTTCAGTTTTCTAAAGAGAGATCCAAGAAGTTTCAGCATCTGGCTGCTATTCTCAGCTGTCTTTATTCCTCGGCTTAGCAAAAAGCTGCCAGGAGAATTAAAAGACAGAGACTCAATGTCTGGGGTTTTGTTCCCTGCAAAGCAAAAGATATTTCAGCTCCCTGTGTGGACAGCGCGGCTTGCCCTACTTCGCATCTCTGTGGTCATCTCTCAATATCCAGAAGGAGCTGGTTCAAATGGATGGACAAAAGCAAACAGTGTTTCCTCAGTATAAACCCTGGAGTCCATACTGCCCAGATTCAGAGCCCTAACCACCCGTTACATCACCATAGTGACCCCCAAAAAGGTATACAGCCTCGCTCTGTCCCAGTCTCTCATCTGCAAAACGGCACTAATAGGGATACTATACATTAGGCTTAAAGTGAATGTTCAGTAAGTTAAATTCAGTTACTTGTGTTTAAGTAATACCTAAATGTATTAAATTAAAAATTAGATTAAGTTCGAGCCAGGCTGTGGTGGCGCACGCCTTTAATCCCAGCACTCAAGAGGCAGAGGCAGGCAGATCTCTGTGAGTTCGAGGCCAGCCTGGTCTACAGAGTGAGTTCCAGGACAGGCTCCAAAGCTACACAGAGAAACCCTATCTCAAAAAACCAAAAAAAAAAAAAAAAAAAAAATTAGGTGAAGCTCATTTGGAAGATGAGCTAAGTTAATGAGTTCACAAGTAGAACAGAACTAGCACATGATGAAAGCTACGAGTGAGTTTACCATGGTGATGGTGGTGGTGGTGATGATAACGGTGATGATACCAGGTGATGGTGATGCTAATGGTACTCATGATGATGGTGGTGGAGGTGATGATCACAGTGATAATTCCTTTTCCTTGACTCATACTCAAAGCACACACAAGTAAAGCACTTCACTACACAAGATGACTGCACACTAAACTCAGTAATAAGCATGCTACAAAACAAGGACACCGAAATGCCAACAGCTGAACATCAACAACCGAGAACCCAATGCCATATTCCACTCAACATCATTACCCAGGAAGCTTCCAGGCCAACACCCCACCCCGGTCCCCACTGTCACATACTATTCTTTTTCCCTTTCCCAGTATGTCAAGAGGAGATTCCTCCTGTCACCTAAGATAAAACTATGCCCTCTTGCTTTTTTTTTTTTAAACCACTGCAATCGACAGGCTGTGGGGGGCAAAGGGGGTGAGTCCCCATCAAGAAAGTCACAAGGAACAACAGTAGAGTCCCTTGGAGGAAGGAAGCCGGTTCCAGGTCTAAATAGAGGCTATGAACAGAACTTCACCAGCCAGGAGAGAGATGAAATGGTGTGGGTTAAAGGCTTATATTTCAAAACCAAAGAGACAGAGAGTATAAAAGTCTGCCAAAGTGGATAGGAAGTGCAGTAAGAAGACTATCAACACTCCGCCCAGGAAAGGAAGCACAGATCAGCAGACCGAGTCTGTACAAGGGGAACCCCAGGCCCCTCAGAGCTGAACAGGCAAAGAGTGGAGAGTGTGCAGGCTCTGAGATACTGCGTGTTGTACAATCAGTGGTGGAGAGTGATTCATCACCCACCATGTGCATGGGGCCCTCTAAGCTGCTTGCGAGTTCCAGGCATCTTGGAGAAGAAAGTGACAGGGATTTGCAACAAGTTGAAGAACTGATGTTTATAGTTCTCAAAAGAGCCCAACAAAAACAAAATTAAACAGCACAGCTATGCAGACAGTTACTGCACAGCGCCATGTGGGCAGAATTTTTCAGTGCCTCTGATTGCTAAAGTCTGTTCACGTGTCCTAAACAGGCTAACTCTCCTTCCCGATAACTTAAAAAATAAATGTATCTCCCTGATAAAGTCTAGCACCATGAGATCATCCGGTCTAGAGGTCGCTGACAGAATTATGAAAAAACAAAAAATCCCTCGGTCTCAAAGTTTCAGAACTTCCTCAGTGTTGAACTGTTTCTGCTTTGTTCCTGGCGCTGCCCTGCTGTAGGACTTAAATCCTTACCTGCTACCAAAGAGTCAATCCAGGAGGAAGACTTCCCCAGGCCACCTGGTGAGGGCGATTTTCTCCAGCACGCCTATAGCATCTCCCAGAACTGAACAGTGTCTAGAAATGATAATGTGGTTCGAGTCATGATTTGCCCTGGGACAGAGCCCATTTCAAGCCTCAGATGTGTTCTTCACACCCTTCCGAAAGAAATAACATCTTTCTGCCAGCAGATCTCTCTGGTATGGCAGCGGAAGGAACCCGGCTGCCGCAGCAAGTGACCTTCAGAATCTCACTGGTATCACACAGTTTCTCCTCAAGTAACAGTCCAGTGCAAAGGAAATCAACTGGAAAACCTCAAGATGTCCTGACCTACTCTTCTCTCCCGGGAGTTCAGAGGTGGCTTCTCTGAGGTAGCCCTGGACATTAGGGGTTTTTAAGGTTTCCCCTGGAAATTCTAACAAGTAACCAAGTGGAGACTCACTTGAGACACAGATAATATGATTCCCCACATCTTACCATTTGGACCTGTATTTAGCTCCAAATGGCCTATACTAGAAAGTTCTCAGTGACTAAAGCTCAATATGACATTTTAAAAACTCAGGGAAAGAAGGTCATATAACCAAATCTAATGCATGAGTCTCTGAGTTAACTCAGTGTCCTATTTGTGGATAAGCCCAGATGTCATCCTTCCTGTCCTGGGTTAGAGATCTCCAGCAGGGCTAGAGATCCACCTGATGTTCATTCACTCGTGAGTGTGTGAGCATCAGAAATCAGTGGGAACAGCGTTGACTCTGGAACTGGATTTGGTGCCGGGTTAGTCATCCAAGGTACAAAGTCAAGAGAGTGGCTGTCATAACACCATGGCCAGAAGCAACTTCGAGAAGGAAAGGGTTAATTTCACCTTATAGCTTACACTCTGCCATAAAAGGCTGTCAGGGCAGGAACCTGGAGGCAGGAGCTGATGCAGAGGCCATGGAGGACCGCTACTCACTGACTTGCTCTTTCTGGCCCGCTCAATCTGCTTTCTTATACAACCCAGGACCACCTGCCCAGGGCTGGCACTGCCCACAAAGGACCAAGCTCTCCCAACATCATTCATTAATCAAGAAAATGCTCACAGACTTGCCTATGGGCCAATCGGTTGGAGCCATGTTCTCAGTTAAGATTCCCTGTTCCCATACGACTCTAGCATGTGTCAAGTTGGGGGTGGGAGGTAGAGCATAGCTTCCTCAGTTCTCTGCCTCAGTTTCTGCATCTGTAAACCTAGGGGAACACCCTCTACTATTTCACCAAGTATTGAGAGAATCAAGCAAGCCAGTTCACTGAGAGGACTGGAACAGGGGCTGGCAGGTGATGACTCTTCAGTAGGTTCGTTGTTGTTATTTTATTCTTTTCAAGCCTGGGTTTCTGCTCCAGGCTTCATGGGGTATAGAAAAGAGGAGCACTGTCCTACTGCTCTGAAGATATTCACAACTAGCATAGGAGAGAGACAGGCAGGTGGAATGCAATATGTGTGACTGGGCTTTTGTAACATGATGCACAAAATTTAGAAGGAACAGGAGAGAAAGTCTTTCTGAAAGAGGCAGCATTAGACTCAGCCTTAGACGACTGGGTTAGACGAACGGCTGTCACTCGCTTCTTGAATAACCTTGAAGAGGGAAAAATGGCAGTTAAAAACCCAACCATTGGCACTAACACGAATTTTGACAACCACAAGCAGATGAGGACATCACCATCTTCCAAGGCAGGGACCAGGCTCCTGAAACATTCTCTCCATGCTTGGGACTCTGCACAGTGATGGGCACTCCCACAAATGCTCCCTACAGAAAATCTGAACCTTTGTGTTGGAAAGACAGGCCCAGGATGACCCACGGCAGCGGGCACAGCCATAGGAAGGAAAACCATCCATCTCTCAGAAATCCCAGTCAGGTCTCTGCCTCGGCCCCGTCAGGAAATCCTGTCACTCAGCCAGGACTTATATACAGCTCAGAGTAGCCAATCCCACTGCGTAGAGTCAGCCAGGCCTCATCCACCTTCCCTTTTTAACCAGGGAAAAGAAAGGATTTGAAAGTAGACATAGACATGAGAAAGAATTCCCCAGGCACTCATCAAAGCAAGTTAAAATAGCTAAATCACCTTGCTGGGAAGGAGCGAGGTTCCTCAGCATGCTGCTGCCTTTAATCCCCCTCTTCCTGGGGCTGGTTGTGCAAAACACCTTGTCGCCTGCTGAAGCCACGGGACTGGTAAGATCAATTTTCCTGTGATTTTCCTTGCTATCTTTCACAGTGTTCTCTAGATGTCTTTGTTTTCCCACATCATCTTGGGCGAAAAGCCCTGCCTGGACTTGATAAAAACCAGGGAAACTTTACAAGAATAAGAGCCTAACCTGAGATGCTGTGCTTGTGGGGTGGGCTAACTTGGTCATTTCTTGCTGGGTGTGCTGATTCTGTGGCTGGAATCTCTGAGTTTAGTGTTATGTTTCTCTTGCCTGGCAGAGCTACATGTTCCAGGTTTTGTTTAGACCACCTGATCACTGTGGGTACCTGCGATCTCATCTTTCCAAATGTAGAAACCAAGCGAGCCTGTGGGAAAATAACCAGGGGAATTCCAGGGTACATTGATGATGCCTTGTTGAGAAAGCAAGCATCAGAAACATTTCCAAAACTTGTCAGGCCCTCACACATGCTTCCTGCCTCCCTCAGGCTGTAGTGGAGGGCTATGGTGACCTTTCTTTGGGCCTCCTTCACTGCATCAGTATAAGGACCCCAGAGAAGCTCACACAGGTTCCATCGCAGGATGAGGTTGAATCTCAGTGAGCAGCAATCTCAGGTGATTTAAGATGGATTCGGAGTGTCTGGTCTCGGCAGCAGACAG